CCCCCCCCCCCCCGAGGCCCAGTCTCTCATTAAGCTCATTTGAAGGCAATATAGACATGTAATGTGAGCCTGGCTCAGGTGCAGAGTATTGCACTGATCCATGGCCACAGATTGACAGCAGCTGTGGCTCACTTCCTATTCATCTCCTGGGACGGGAAATGGGGGGTGATTTTAAAAAAAAAAAAAAAAAAAGGGAAATATCCATTACACACATGAGACAGCAGTGTATCCTCTCGTTTCTCATGTCTGCTTCTTTCTGGGTGTGACAGGCGGCCAGGCGACTGTGGACCTGTCTGTGCGGGAATTCTTTGTATTTCTTCAATAATGCCAAGGACAGTCATGTAAGTTTCAGACTGTTTATGTGTCGTTTGTGCATCATAGTGAGCTGGCACTGAAACATGTTTGTGTGTGTTACAGTATGTGGAGAAGCTGGACCTCAGTGGGTTTGTGTCCCTGAAGGACGACTGCAGCCGGGACAGAAACCTGGAGGCAGCCAGACTCATCCTACGCATGAAGGATGGAGAGACCAAACTCACAGTAAAGCGTTCACACACACACACACACACACACACACACACATACAAATTAACACTTTTTGTAAGGTGTAACACAGCTGTTGTCTTTACCAGGCACCTAACTTGGAATCAAGAGAGCTGTGGAAAGGTTTCCTCTACTCCGTTGTAGATGTAAATATTCATCGTATGCACGCCTGCGTCCCTGCATCAATCTTTATCTCTCTTGTGCCATCTTTAAAATATTCTCCCCTCTGTCCAATCACAGCTGAATGTGCCCTCCTGTCTCACGTTGCTGCCGGGCCAGCTGCAGATGCTGAAGGAGATGGTGGACAAAGAGAGGTCCAGGCGGAGAAATCGCACTCCCACGCGTGCTCCTCCCTCGCCCCTCTCCGTGCCTTTAGTAGGAGAGATCCCACCGTGAGTTCTCCTTGAGAGGATGCACTGTAGCTGTGCTACCTTTTTAGTGTGTGAGCAGGACTGCGTTCTCATCATTAATGTGTGCGTCATGCAGGTGTTTTCGACCGGTGTCTCGAACAGAGGCCGAGGTCCTTCTAGAGAGACACCCGGACTGTGGCAACATGTTGCTCCGTCCAGGCAGAGATGGATGCTCGTTGGCCGTCACTACTAGGCAGGACCTCAATGGGTAAACACCCGCCGGACATCTTAGCACCACAGCTGCAAATATAGTCAGACGCAACATTCACTGCAAATGTTACAAGTTTATGTGTTTGTCTCTTTTGCTCCAGGTCAGTGTTCAGACATTACCGTGTGACTCAGAGGGATCAAGGTGGTTATGTCATTGATGTAGAAAACCCTGTGAGTGTTTAATACTTGCAGATACACTTCAACACTTATAACATCTCTAAAGGTGGAATTATTCTGTAATTATTTTTACTATTATTCACTTTCTATTATTCATTTTTAATGACAGGAGAAACCTCATGTTAGGGATGCATCGAACTAACTTTTTCACTCCGGATACAGATTCTAATATCTTAATTCATATCTTAATTCATTAAATCTGCTGCCGATACCATTGCTCTCTTTTACCAGATTTATTATCTATATACCTCTGCACTGAAAACATGCGTCCACGACTTACCGTAAATGATGTGACTGATTGCAAGAACACATCATTTTATAATAACACTATTAAAGAAACATAATTTTATGTAAATCAGTCACATCATTGCAGATACCTGATCTCCTTTATTGTTTTGGTGCTGATACAAAACAGGCATATTGGATCGATGCCTCAAGGGACAACTTGTCAGAAGTAAATATAGCTAGTATCTTTACCTATATTATGTTTTTTCTTAAAGGGATTTGTGGGGTGGCATGGCAACAACTCAGCACAAAGATCGTTTTGGAAGAAATATAGAACAGGAAAATGACAAATATGAGTAATGCCTTGAGATGACAACAATCAACAATGTCTCGGGCTGTGTGTAAACAGCCTCAACAAACCAGCTGCTTTAGGCGTATAATACAACATGTTTCCTCTTCCAGATCCCCTGTGCCACACTTCACGAGGTCATCGACGCTCTGGTGGAGAAGACAGCGGGAACTCTGCAGCCTTTCCTGCTGGAGGAGCCGTACGAAGAGAATATCAGTGAGGCGACCACGCAGCACACACATATTCTCAAGATTATTTTAATCAATAAGGCTGCCCGATTTATATTCCGTTTGTGTCCTCAGCATACGTTTCCGCCAATGATGAGAACGGAGAAAGGATCCTCCACACTGCCCCCTCCAGCCCCCTGCCAAAGGCTCCCGCCCTGCCTCCAAAACAGGGTTCGTCTCTGCCACATAAACCACACGCAGACAGTCGCAGACAGATGGCAATAACGAGCACTGCTTTTTGTTCTGGTGCAGATCGTTGGCCCGGCAGCCCCCTGTCCAGGTCTCCGGCCCCCGACCGCCGCATCCTGACCTCACCAGTGCCGGCTTCGCCCACCAACCCGATGAGACGGCTCATCCTCTCCCCTTCACCTCTCGCACAGAGTGAGTTCATGCACATCTGACCTGCTGCAATCCATCCTGATTTACAGTTGTTGTTTTCTTAAAAGGCTCATTCAGTAATCTGAGGAGTAATTTAATAAAGCAATTCAATATTTTTTTCTAGAAACGGGTAAATCTACTGTACATAACAGAGACATAACTTGATGTGTTTCCTCTGTCTTTCCACAGCATTCAATGAGGAACTCAAAATGAAGCTTGAGAAGAGACGAGCCAGTCAGGAGTGATTCACTCATAAGAAACAACCTCCTGTCACACCATACTCAATCTTCAGTGCCAAACCCTTTCTCACCACAGCTATGTATTTATCCGGTGCCTTCTAGGTGGAAGACAAGGGACTACAAATATACAAATACCGCCGCCTTCTTGTAGGGAGATACAAAATGTTGGACTTAGATGGTTAAATGAACTCTGGTTCGCTCCATAAGAGCGAGATTGGCTGGTAAACACTGGATTAGGTTCATAAAACCTCATAAAGCGCAGCCTGCCTTGGTTGGGGTAACAATCCACTAGTTCTTTGTCTACTTTCATAAAGCTGTTTACAAAAGAAGTAGTGCCACAACAAATGATCTTCCTTCAGATCAGAGTCCTCACTGAATCAATATATCTGGCAGCTAAACAAAAGCACTAACGCATTCAGGACCACCAACTGAGCCAACTGATGTTTTCTCGTCTGAGCCCATGTCTGAGTGCTGAGCTGCTGATGTTACTGCTGCAACACTGGAGACGAAGAACGAGCAAACCACAGACTGCCAAGATCAACACTGGAGGCCTGAGACACTTTATCTGCTCTGAAAATATACATAACCGAGGATTGCTCAGGTTTCTGCTCAAGCAATTCTCCTCACTCACCTCATCATCATCACATGTAACGTGACTGTAAAAGAAATATTGTCTGTCACTGTCGAGCTGGCCCCAATCTAAAAAAACTGCACAATCTCTGCCTGCTGCTCATGAGTGCTATTTGTGATTGATAAGCAACTATTAATGTATCGTTGATTCAATGACACTGTTGTGGCTCATTTATGACTCAACATTAACCGTACTGTTGGTGCTTATTTTAAAGTGTTTCCTTATTCTCTCGTATACTGTGTCCGTGCTACTGTGTATGGTGCTACTGTGTATGATGCAATGACTCACTGGTGCTCAGACCTGCCTGGAAACTCCAGGTGATTTCTGTTCCTCTTCAAGCAAATGAACTGTACTCTTATGTGAGACTGCCCTCCAGTGGAATGTCTGTCAACTAAAGGGACAGAAACCTTATCAGCACATCAGTCTTTACAAAGTACAAAACACTGAACCAGCCTCTTGGCTTCATCACAGTGTTGTACCACTTGTCTGCCTTTGTAACACAATTATAATTTCTTACAGGTCTGAAGGTGCTTAAACATAACAGTATGTGTTTCTATAATGACATTTGTTACGCCAATCGGCCAGTAGATTTGTGGCAAACTGTGATTGACTGACTCATACGTGTCCTCGTATGATGAACAGTTTCCTGTATGTTTGTACATGATGTGTCGTGTCTACTCGATCGCTATCAAAGAACAGTGTTTGTTAGATATCAGGGGCATTAAATGGTTTTGCATGGATTTGATTTGTCCTTGTTGTGAATTGATAGGTTGGGCTTAAAAGTTTCAGCAAAGTTTGCAAAAGTCATTCGTTTGTTTTTTTACAGTTTAACATGAAGGTTATTGTATTTTTGTTCAGTCTTCCTTGTTCCTTCAGTTTAGATAATCTACCATGATCTCACACACCTTCGGATACATTTATATTGGAAATAAACTTTCTCCATATTTAATTATTTTTTAAATAGATTACTTTAATCATTACATGAAACAACTACTCTTATTTAACTCTGAAACGAGCCACGTTTCTCTTTATTCCTTAGTAGGCAAAATTCTCTACAATTTTTTTTTAATTGACATCTAATCCACCATTATCTTTTTTAATGAGAATATGGTATTTTTTAAATGTTTTATTTATTTTGTCTTTTGTCTTGATTTGTGAAATTTGTAATATGAAAATAATATAAATGAAAAAAGAGGACAAACATGTAAGATGGAGGGACTTGATGTCCACACATTAGAGCCAAGATGTGTGTGATGTGGCCTGTATACATGCACTGCTCCATAAACCTGTAATAACAGAGAAACAGAATTTGATTGTATATTTTGCAGGAGGTTACATTCTATCAACCAGAAATAAAATGTAATGGCTCCACTATATTTCATAAATTAGTATATGGTTAAGTATAATATTGTGTATAATACATTACACATGCATATATATATATTTATATAATCCATCCTATGCATTGATAAGACACCATGCAGGACAGGCAACTCCCACAACATATCACTAGGTCACGTTAGTCCATAAGTCCTGTTTGTACATGTTGCACAAGTTAAACAAAAAAAACGTGCCCCCCCCCCCAGCTGCGTTTATCCTCAACCTCGACCATCCTGAATCAGCTGTGCCCTCCACCGACGGATACAAGTATACGAGGACAATGCAAACTTAATCAGACCTGAGATCAGCGTCTTACGCCGCCCTTACGGTCGTTTGAAGCGAGTACCAAAAACAACCTGCGGGGCCAGCAGCAGCAGCCAGACATTCAGGTCCTCCTCACTCACCGCGGGACGTCTCTACAATAACGGATGACTGCTGTGGCTTTGAGAGGACCCGACAGAGACACACTGGCTGCCGAGTCGTATTCAGAGACGCTATTTCTGCGGTCTGAGGTCAGAGAACACAAAGCTGCTGCAGCCTTTTCCAACTTCACAACCTTAAAGGAAGTTGCAAGCTCGCGCGCATCGAAGTTTCACATTTCAGCGGACGTCTGGCATTAGTAACGTGTGTGAGGGACTAACAGCCTGTTAGTTAATGAAAAGGTAATGGTTCCCACAAATTACGCTTATTAAACAGGTGTGATTTTTTTTCATTTCTTTTCATGGAAGTCTCCGCAGTCTTGGGCGTGTCAGTGCGCAGGTAAGTGATTAACTTTGAGTGTGTTGACGGTTAACTGCTTGAGCTCGTGCACTTTGCCATTACTTCTGTGAGTGTGAGTGTGTGTGAGTGTGAGTGTGTGTGTGTGAGACAGCTTTTGTTGTAGTACATCTAGTAAAACTTAGTTTAAACAACACATTGTATTCTAATAAACTAAAACAACTCGCAAGCTTGAATTGCACAAAGCTCCGTTTTTCAGACCAACTTGAAATGCCTAAAGCCGAACTGGCCGACGAGCTTGTTCTTGCTGGGGGACATTTGGCGCATAAATGCATGTGTGTGTGCGTTAGTGTGTTGGCAGGAAGTTTTTGGGTGTAGCTGGCTTTTGGCTCCCAGGGCCAAATATGTGAAACATGTTATCAGGGCTGCATTCTCTGACATGCCGCAGCTCATCAGTCAAACAGGCACACCTCTCTTGGGAAAGAAGCACTAATGTACACACCCACTCAGCAGGCTGTAAACTGCTGGATGAAGCCATAGAAAGCAAAGGCCGTTACCGTAATTAAAGGAGAAGCAATAATAGTCAATGGGGTTTAGTGGTAATGACGGTAAAACCAACATGTTTCCTGTGTGTGCAACTGCGCTTGCAACAAAATTGGTGCAAGAGCTCCTCTCTCATCTGCACAGGCCTTGAGCGCTCTCTGTGAATCCCTCATTGTGTGCCTGTGTTTGGTGCCGCAGGAGAGCTGGAGCTGACGTCCCTGCACCCTGCTGAATGCCTTTCATGGCCCTGCATTAACATCACTATGGCACTGACAGAATTACTGCCGACTTTAGCTCACTATGCCCTTTCTGGCTGTTCCTCTGCTTCTTTTATTCTCTCTCTCTCTTTTGTTTTTTAAACAAATTAAATGATTCTCTTCGCATGCTGTCTTCATAGTTGCCGTGTGATTTTTTTTATTTTTTAAAGTCTCTTTTCGGTCAGGCCTCCTACATCAGGTGACCCGATTGTGACACTCGTGCACCGTTGTGTCTTTCAGCCCTCCTCGGCGTCGTTTCTTTGGTCTGTGCCATCCATCTCACCATGGACAGCCCGCTGAGCGGGGCCAGTAAAGGGGCCCGTGCCCTTCACTCAGAACAGACCTCACCACGTCATAGATGCCGCTCGCCGTCTTTGCCCCCTGCATGAGTAACTGTTGAGGGAACAACAAAGCTTTAATTCCTCTTAGTCTGAACAAAAGAGCCATGCATCCGCTGCTGCCCCTCTGTGTCTTTTGGCTGCCGGCCCTGGCTCGGACGCTGGAAGAAGACTCGCCACTGGACTGTGTCCCCCGTAGATCTGTGCCCTACCATAGTGAGTGTTGCTTTCTGTCTTGTGTAATAACCTCGGTTTCCAGTGTGCCAACCTGTGTTGGCTCATGTGGTTTGAGTAAGCTCGGGCATTGGGAAACCGGGTTTCATCACCGGTATATAGCTTGCTGAGTTAATCATTCGTCATCTGCTTTTAGGGGACAATGGCCACCTGTTTCATGAGGAGGGAGTGTTCAACTACTCCACCATGCTGCTGAGAGAAGACCTGGACCTGCTGCTGCTGGGTGCCAGGGAGGCAGTGTATGCGCTCGACCTCAAGGACATCTCCAAGAAACTTGGTTCGGTAAGAGCACCGACGTTAACAATGCAGTTAAGGCCAATTCTGATCGCGATACTCTTATCTGTGAATTTCTTGGCCCAGGGCTAAGAAATCTTTTAAGAGCAAACGTTAGTGTTGTGCCGGGCTGCCTGCGAGCCTCGGCAGGCAAACGGCGTTGCACTATGTTGTAACACCTTCTGCACTTCAGATTCAATCAACACATACGAAAACCAAGTCTGACTCCAGCTGTTACACCTCCACCTCAGTTGCATCTGGAAGGACATTTTACCTGCTTGTTACACTTATATTATTATATAGTAAAGGGTGTAAATGGTTCGAAGGGTTTGCTTTGTGTGCCTTTGTGGCATGTCCTCCCTGCCCCGTACCTTCCAACCGTCAAAGAAAGGCACGGTATATGCCGAAAGATACAAAGAAAAAGACGTTAACTCGAAAAACAGAAATAAAATTGTTTTTTTACTCTTCTAGGTTAAATGGGAAGTGAGCCAACAGCAAGAAGATGAGTGTAAAAACAAAGGAAAAGACCCTGAGGTGGGCCCCTTTTTGGACTTCTGCTCTTGAAAATGTATTGCATATTGAGTCGATGTAGTCATTGTGCTTTTTAAAATGCATTTACAGACTCAGTGCAAGAACTATATCAGGATCCTGCACCAGACGGAGGATAATAGGATGTATGTGTGTGGAACCAATGCTTTTGATCCCGAGTGTGATTACATGGTGAGACAAATTCAGAGCCACGGTGCTCGTTTAGCTCACTTCACATTCCATACTGTATACATTGATGCTGTGTAGTTTATTACATCAAGATGATATTTAAAAGAACTGTAGGATGTACAGACTTTGGGAGCTGCAGTGCCTCTGTTTGTCTGTGCAGTCCTACGCAAATGGAAAGCTGACCCTTGAGAAGAAAGGAGAGGACGGCAAAGGGAAGTGTCCTTTTGATCCGTTCCAGAGATATGCCTCCATCATGGTTGGTGAGTAGCAATACAGCGGATGAGACGTTGAAGAAAAACGGTTAACAATTCTAATCCACTGTGTCCCAATCGGTCATGTCTTTCCAGAAAACAACCTGTACTCAGCCACTTCAATGAACTTTCTGGGCTCTCAACCCGTCCTGATGCGCAGCTCGCCCACCCCCGTACGCACGGAGTTCAAGAGCTCCTGGCTTCATGGTAAGATAGATAGATGTCTTCTTTTGTAAGATGCTATAGGAAGTGTATGCAAGGGCTTCACTCTCTCTTTGAACTTGATTTGCTCAGTAGCTCAGTCAAAGTTGATGTTTTTTCCCCCCTCTCTCTCTCTCTCTATGCCAGAGCCCAGCTTTGTCTCCATGACTCAGATGCCAGAGAGTTATATGAGTGAGGAGGGAGACGATGACAAGGTGTACCTGTTCTTCAGTGAGACAGCTGTGGAGTGCGACTGCTACAACAAGCTGGTGGTTTCCCGCGTGGCCCGTGTCTGCAAGGTAAACAAAAGTTCATCCTGCGTGCACTTATTTTGTTGCAGCTCCATTTCCCCAAAACGACAATAACGTATAAACAGCACTTCCTCAGTTGTGCTCATTCCTCCCTTTCCGATGCTGGATTGTGCATCCCCTTTGTCTTCGTGTTTTTCCACTTCGGCATATGATTTCTGTGCTCCCAGGGAGACCTCGGAGGTCAGAGGACCTTGCAGAAGAAATGGACATCCTTCCTGAAGGCCAGGATGGACTGTCCGGTGCTGGAGTCCCAGCTGCCGTACATCATCCAGGACACTTACTACTTGTGTAACCCGCAGCAGCACTGGAAGGACTGCTTGTTCTACGCCGTCTTCACACCACAGTCGTACGTTTGAATTGACAAACGTGGTTGTGTGTTTTGAGGAAGCGGGGGTCTCTTTCTCTTTAATGGTCTTTGGCACACCACTTGGCTCACATCTTCTGTCTGTTTCAGGGGCACGTCGGACCTGTCTGCAGTGTGTGCGTACCGCGTGTCTGACATCAGCAGAGTGTTTGCAGAGGGGAAGTACAAGACCCCAGTCCCCGTAGAAACCTCTTTTGTTAAGTGGGTGATGTACAGTGGAGATGTGCCCGTCCCTCGGCCCGGATCTGTGAGTCTGCCCACTATTCAGTGTGTGTGTGTGCGTGTGTTGCAAACAAAGGCAAAACTCAAAAGGCAACTCTGTTGAAGGGGGGCTCACGAGTGTCCCAGGAGGAAACTGATTCCTTTTGTTCTCCGACTCTGTTCTCTCTTGTCTCTTTCTTTCCCCTCTTCCCCCGCCAGTGTATAGACAATGCGGCTCGTAAAGCGGGCATAAATCAGACCCTGGACCTCCCAGACCGGACCCTTCAATTTGTCAAAGATAAGCCCCTCATGGACCAAGCTATCCAGCCAATAGGAGACAAGCCTCTTCTGGTGCGAAGGGGAGCTACATTCGCACGCATCATAGTCAACCAAGTGCAGGCAGCGGATGGAGAGAAGTACTCCGTGATGTTCATCGGCACAGGTTTGTGTATCGGTGCAGCACACTGCCACTTCCTGTGTATATTTCACTTTGCTGCTTTTCATAACTCTACATCAGTGATAAGCATCAGACCGCATGTAAATATAGCATGTGTCTGTTTTTATACGTAAAGAGGAAGGCACAATGCTGAAAGCGGTGAACTACGATGGAGAGATGTTCATCATAGAGGAGGTGCAACTCTTCAAGCCTTTAGAGCCAATCAAGATTTTGAAGTTTTCCAACGTCATGGTAATTTAAAAAAAAACCCTATATAACTTTTAAATCACTATTCAAGTGTGCTGTCATCGTATATTACGGTAAAGCACCGACATCAGTGCCTTTGCTCTGTGTGTGATGAAACAGGGTCAGCTCTACGCCGGCTCAGACTACGGAGCAGCACAGATGCCACTGGCCACCTGTGGGAGGTCCTCATCCTGTATGGACTGTGTTCTAGCCAGAGATCCGTACTGCGGCTGGGACAAAGTTGTTCGGGAATGTGTTTTCCTTTCTGATTCACCGAGGTAGGCCGCCGTCCCAAGAGCAAGTGCTGCTATCGGTTCTATCCAAACTAAATTTCAATCCTTGTATCTTTTGCTTCAGAGGACTAATCCAAAGTGTGAAAGAGGGCGATGCCTCTCTCTGCCCAGATGCAGGTGAGTTAGTGCACACTATCACGTACCTAAACTGCACCTGGCAGGGTTTGCATCATTTTACACTCCTTAAACATGAAAGCACCATAACTGCGGTTGATCGTGGGTTGTTAAAAATCGAAATGTGTTTTTACGTGAAGGACCTCTGTTTCGTTTTCAGACCCCGTGAAGCCGATGAATCGGTCCATCTGGCCTCAGGGAAACCTGAAGCTGCAATGCCCATCGCCTTCCAACCTGGCAAAAACCAGTTGGTGGCGGGACGGCAGCCCTCTGACGGCGTCTACTCGCCTTCAGCTTCTACAAGACGGCTCCGCGCTTATCCTCAACGCCACAGACTCCGACGCTGGTCGGTACAGCTGCCTGTCTGTCGAGCGCCACAAAGCTGACGCGTACTCAACTACTGTGGCCGAGTACCTGGTCAGCGTGGCTCCAGCAGGATCTGGCAATCGGAACGGGATTCTCCCCCAGGCCCAGATGGATGGCCCCTCTGTGGCTGGACTGCAGGCCTTAGTCGGGCTCCTTGTAGTTGCTCTTCTTGCCCTTTTGGCTTTGAACTTTTACAAAGGCCACATTCCGCTGCCCTGGAACTGCACAAAGAAAAATGCAGAGCGATCCCAGGAGACCCATGAGCAGGGTGGTCTGGACTCCTACCAGGATGCAGTGAGGTGTGCACCGGCAGATGACAAGGCCCTGGTGTCAGGAGCAAACAACAGCAGTAGTACCAACCACACGGGGAGGGAGGCAGCCTTCAGCGTGGCTGAGGGGAGCGACAGCCCAAAAGTCACTCTCCAGTATATTGATGACGAGTCAGTAATTTGAAAATGACGAGCGGGTTCCCATTCAGCGCCGCAGAAGTTTGAGAAATGACCCAAACCCTTTGTTTCTGGGCAGAACTATTGGATTCATCAGTTCATCTGTAACGTTTGCACTGAATGCTCAATGAGAGCTTAAAACATTCTGAGTGGTTGAAACTTCAAGACACTAAAAGATTCTTGATTAATCAAGACATTTGGATTTCTGCTTTACTTAATGTTTTTACAATTGTGTGTACATTTAAGTGTTTTAGCTTTCTACTAATTGTTAAATCCCATTATTGATTTGAAATATCTTCAATCTAAATATATTTAGATACATCTTAGATTGGTATGATATTCACAGGGAGATGTAAAATAGCTGAAATTGAGCCATTTCATTTCTAACCACTAGCTGCCAGGACTTTGTGTTATTGTATTAAACCTTTTCTACCTGGTCCTCGAGTTGTTTCAGTGTATCGAAATATTGCCAACAGGGTTTACTAGTTTTCAAACAAGACTGGACTTGCCAAGAATGTGAAGAACAGATGTGGAAGACACCTGAAGTTATAAATTATTTTCATCAATCATCTTTGTACTTTAGTGTACGTGATTCAGTCTCTTTGTGAAGACGGACCAAGTTTCAGATGTTCGATGTTTTAAGTCTGTAACTCTCGGATGAAATGTTTTAAATTGGTGTCCACGGCAGAAAACCATCAACCAATGGAAATGTGCAAAGAGTAAAAAGGAGGAAAAAAATCTTTAATGTGTAATTTTCTGACTACATTACAAAATACTTTTTCAGACAACAGTACAGAAAAATTTGTAGCTTTAACAAACTGCTTTTTGGTGTTTAGAGCAGCTAAAAACAATAAAACAAATCGACTGTACAGCCCACATAATAAAGCAAGTATGGTTAACACCCTGCAACCGGGGTTTTGGTCCATCCTGGTCTGTGGCCTCTATCTCCTGTAGCGGTACCTCTTGAAGTGGAACCACAGCTGGAAGATACCATTGGAGAACTGACAGCGGAAGCCATGTCGGTGCGAGTACTCCCACTCCCTGTTTACGATCTTAAAGGCGATGTCCTCGTACGGAGGGCCAGCGTGGAACCGTAAGATCCCGAAGTCCTTGTTGTCGGGACTGGGCTCGAGGAAGTACTGCGGCGTGGAGCGCTTGTCGATCAGGTCCGGGTAGAAGATGTTGAACTTGTAACCCTGGACGATCTTGGGTGGGGGGTTGTCGAAGTCGTAATGCGTCTGGTTGTATTTGTTCCACTCGAAGCCGGTGTGGACCCTGTTAAAGAAGCGGGGTTTCCTGGGACGGTATTTGTCCGCCCAGAGGTACATCTTCCCAGTGACGGGAAACTCCACGCTGAACTGGGCCTCGTCGTTGCCCATGCCCTGTTTAGCGCGACGTACGAAGGCGTCCTCGGCGCTCTCGCTGGCATCGCCTGATGGAGAGGTCAAAGAAGCAACAGTGGGTGAGAAACAATACATATATCACATACTTACAAACCCATTCCTTTCTTTTTACAAATACTGTATTTTTCACAATTTGACCAGTTTTCTGACTCTGATTTCGAAGCTTTTAATGTGTTCGTTTCTGTTAATAATCTCATACCTGTGACTTGTAGCTGTTGGCGTGCTAAGTCCAGTCTGTGCGCGTCCTCCTCCGGCGTGGTCGTGTGCGAGTCCAGCGGGAGCTCGGAGGTCGTGAGCAGTGCGGGGCTGTAGCGACCGGAGTCGTACTCCGCCTGACTCTGCTGGATCAAGTCCTCCTCCGTCAGCACGGCCTCCACCACCTCGCCCTCTTTCTCGTCATTCTTCTTCTCACCCTCGTCTCCTCCATCCTCATCTTGGTTTCCTGCTGAGGATGTTGATGGACCTGCTTCCTCTTCGGTTTCTCTGTTCTTGTTTTTTGTCGAGGATTGACCAGGCTCCTCTGTTGTGGTCCCCCTTTTGTTTTTTGAAACACAGAAGTGAGAATTGACACATTGTCAGGTGAAAGTTGGACGCCAGGTCACTGTCATCTGACTGAGCCTTTGTGTCCCCACAGTTTCAGGATGTGTATTGTGTTGTTTCGAGGTAACTTACTCAGCTTCACTCCTCGTCTCCTCTTTGATGATGGGGAACAGAGGTTCACTTTCCACCCCTTGTTCCTGTTTCAGCTTGAACAGCTTCTGACGCAACACATCTTGATGTCTCTCTCTCAACCTGGGACATAAAATGAAAGTAGTTTTACACACACTTCTCCACGGTCTATAAGCCAAATGTGGAACTGATTAAAACAGCATAAACACAGTAAGGGTTCCCCCCACATTGGTACCTTGCCCTGGACATGTAGACTCTGACTTGCTGCAGCAGACTCTCCCAGTAACCGACATCGAGATTGGATCCTCCAGCCCGGATCTTTGTCTCAATGTTCAGGTGCAGCGCCTGCAGCTGGCTGTACGTCTTTCCTTTGAACACCGTCTGGACATCGATGCTCACAGCTGTGTTGATGCCCTCACGACGATCACCTGAGAAATCAAAAGATTCCATCGAAGATAAAAGGGGAACAATGTGGTTGAACATGTTGCATATAAAGTTCACAGAGACAGCTACAAGTTGAGTTATTAGTCAGAGGAGCACTGCTGCAAATGTAACTTCACAAGTAGAAACAAAGCAGGGCCAATGACGCACCTGGTCCTTTCCCAGAAGCCTCCAGTTTCCTCAGTTTGCTGATCTCGTCCTCGGTGATGGTCGTCATGTCTCTCCAGAAGTCCACATTCTTCCCTTGCTCCAACTCCATGTACACCTACCAGCACAACAACACTCAGTTCACCACAAACAGATGGAGCTCTTTTAACGAACAACAGGTGTGAAGCACACCTTAAGTCTACACTTTGGGCTGAGTGATCATTCAAGATCAATGATGCGTCTGCTTTTCCCTACATTGTAACTGTTGTGATTTGGTGCCCCTCGGTGGCAGTTAACAGAAAAAGACAACGGCAGACAGATCTAACTCTGGGACAGAAAGATGAATCTGTTGAAAGCATCACAGACTGCACCGACTATAAGTGGGATTGTCTGGTTTTTCTACAAATATCTTGCACCACCAGAATAATTTGAACGATGCTGTAATCACATACAAATATCTAAATATAATGGCTATAACTTGCACAATTAATGTTAACATTAAGGTGATTACAGCAAGTTGTCCAATCGCTGAGAAAGTGATGCAATCAGAATCAGAATCTCGAGTTTGTTTATTTGAACGTGACGTGTTTTATGCGCGTTAGCTGGACATTTTACAAGAGTAAAAAGAGGCCGCAATCTTCACGGTGCCCTTCTTCTTGTTGCTGCATTACTACATCTCCCCTAAAGAAGCGACCCGTGTGATTAGAGATATTTTAAGGTCTTTTACACTTCGACGTACACACAACCTCATACCTTAATGTCCTCCAGCAGGTCGTCCATGTCGGTGACCGTTAGCCCGTTGAGAAAGGTATAAGGCTCATGCATCTCCACGGCGAGATCGTCGTCTTCTGCACTGATGTACTTCGCCAACAGGTCAATAGGTTTGGCGCGACCATCGCGGATTCGGATCTTAGACCTGGACACGCAATACACACAACACTGTGAGTCAGCGCGTACACTGTATTTATTAAGGAACACTTGAACCTAACTAGAATTGTGCAAGAAAACCGAACAGCAGCAGAAATCCTCTGACGTGAAAAGAGGATATACAGCAATCGTGGATGCACACTTACCTTAGTTTGGCCTGGTGCAGGTGGAAGTTGTCCTCCTGTTCAGCCCAGGTCTTGAAATGCTCCGCCTCCTTTTCTCTCTGAAGCATCTCCAGCTCCGTCTCCCTCATGGCCTTCTCTCGCTCCCTCTCCAGACGCAGCTGTTTTACCTGCATACGCAACGTTAGTTTGGTTAATGAAACGGTCGTTACTCATAACTCATAACATTATACTGCCACAAAATACAGCTCGTACCTTCTGCAGCTCTCTGCGGTTCTCCTCTTGGATGCATTTGTTCCTGTCTTTAAGATCTTTTTCTCCCAGATGGCCGATGCCTTTCTTATCCAACGCCTGAAAAGAAACACACACACACAAAACGAGATTCTCAGAGCTAGGACAGGAAACTTTCCAAAAAATCTGGGGCTGCATACAAATTGACTAATACAATTTACAATAACTCATCAAATGCTGTTGGAAACTGCTCCCCAACTCACCTTCTGCCATTTGAATGTGCCCAATAAGTTGTTGTCGCCAAAGGGATTGTCTGCATTGGTGTATCCCATGTACTCTTCGCTCCAGCCCATCTTCTCTCTCCTTTTCTTCTCCTTTGTTTCCTTCTTTGTCAGTCTCCTGGCCCTCTTCTCCTCTGGTGTCTCCAGCGCTTTCATCATCTCCCTCTGATTTTTCTTGTCCTCCTTTTCTTTGACCACTCGGCCCCCGTGATCAGACTCTGAGCTGTCGGACGACTCGGGTGAACTGGAGCGCTGCCTCCCTCTCCCTCTGTCGGCCGTCTCTCTGCTTCTCTCGCTCCTCCCTTGCTCCCTGTCGTCACTCCTCTTCCTGCGCTCTTGGCCTTTGTCTCCTTCTCCTTTCCTTCCCTTGTCTCTGTTGTTGCTCTCACTATCTCTGTCTTTATCTCTGTCTTGCTCCCTCCTCGGTCTGTCTCTGGTTGGACTCTCTCGATCAGGGCTTCTCCGCTTTCTCCTTTCTGTGTCGCTGCTTTCATCATGGGAGTCAGAGCTGGACTGGGACTTTTCCCTCCTCTTCTCTCGAGACGTTCCTCTCCGGTTCTCCATTTCCTTTCTCGGCCTCCTCACTTTGGGATCACCTGAATCAGAACTGAGACAGAAAACAGGTGATTTAGTACATTTCCACTCCTGGATGGAGACTAAATGAATACATGTGTTCTTTACTCTTGAATGACCGAGATGGTATGAGCTGTGGGGTATTCAGTTTGTGGCAGAATCATTTTGAGTTGATAGGTTAACCGTCTAAAACCTAGATCCAGATGCAACAGAAACTGATTGACACAGTTAATATCTACAAGTCTTTTTTGTTTACATACATATGCATGTGTTATACTGGATCATTACCTACAATGGAAGTTGCATAAACAAAAATGGTTGCTGGTTTGGGTAAATTGAACTCTGCAAACCAGTACACCTGACCGACAGGCTGTGTTTAATACTCCTGTTTCATATGTTTTAATTGTTTTAAATACCTCCGCAGTATCGATACCGAGAGGTTTTACTAGGGGAAGTAAACGGATGTAAACAGTTTGAGTGCTCGGGTTATGGAAAAGTGTAATACTAAGCCTGTTAATTCGTACAATCCTTAAAGTACCAAAAAATGTTGTGGGACACATTGGCTCCGTGTACAATTAAATTCGCGGATTAACACGAGCGTTACTTATTCTAATGTATTCAAATCCATGAGCTCGTGACATAATGTCAACCGGCATTACCATTACAACAGGTCGACTCGAGCCGCAAAACGTGGTGAACACCCAAAACCAACCAACTAGCACCAGACAGCAAAGACAAAGTTACCTCGATGAACGAGCCCTGGACTTGCTGCTGGGTCGGTGTGGTCCTCGCCTCCTGTCGCCCTCCGAGTCGCTCCTGGAACCTGGACGGTCCCTGTGTTGAGGCCCACGTCGGTCAGGAGAGCCATCGCTGGAGTTCCTGCTGCCCGAGCGTACCCGTCCACGGGCGGTTATTTTCGAATCCAAAGACCGACTGCGGCGTCTCCTTTCCTCCGGAGATCGAGACCTGCTTACTTTAGATCGGGTTCGCCGATCCCGGCTCCGACTTCTGGATTTAGAGCGGGACCGACGTCTTGATTTCGAAGCCATCACGAACTTTCCGTCAATGCGGGGGTCCTACGTGCACACTGTCGCGTAAATAAGAGGTAACAAAGAAACCGGTTGGCTGTCTTTACACAGTGTAACGTTTACCTGTGTGTTTGTAAAACATGTAATGAAGGAAATCTACGTCCATTTGATACCCGTATGAAAACTGCGTGGTAAATTGTCTGGTTTCAGAATATATTGATCAGACAGGCAGCAGGAAACTACTTTAAAGGGGCTTTCTACAAAATGGCGCATATTTCAGACGTCACGACTAAAGATTGAGAAAACAAATTATAATACATACAAATACATGCACGGGGCATCTACAATCAATGTAACACCATTGAAATATGTTGTTTTTGGTAAAACAACGTGAGAGTGAAATTAGGTCAAAGCTGCTTTTCAGAAACACAAACAACATTCGTATGTTCGTGACGTCAGGCATATGTAGTTGTCTCCGTTCACTCCTAAAATAATATATATTAAATATGGTGACATATCAACCAATTAACCTTGGTTAACGTTTTCTTCATATAACCAGCTATTGTTATACACTATTGTGTGGCTTTCTTTCTTGCTTGTTCGGTTAAAAGTCGTGTTTGCGGATGAAGCGCGGACTACAAATCCCAGACAACACAAGGCGCCATTGCCCGTGTTGAGGGGAGAGAAGACTCCTTTCAGCAACATTCTTCTTTACCCATTCTCCCGTTCGGCCCGTTTTAAACTACACTTCTGACTTGTCGTCAGAGTTTGTGTTCGCTAGCATTTCGGATCAGTAATTGTGTTTCCTGCTCTAGTCTGACTCTCGTGCGGAGTTATAAACTATTGACGCGGAGGTAAACTGGTCTTCAGCTGGTCCGTGAGGCTTGTGAGCTAGTTTACATTAGCCAGCAGCTACCAGTAGATTTACGGCTTATATCCGCGGCTGCCCTGCCGGGTAGATCAACTAAAGCTGGAGGCGCTGGTCAGCCACAATGGTTTGGTCAGTTCACCAATGTCTACGTATTGATCGCACTTGTAAATAATTCACCTGATTGTTTTGGGGGAAAATCAACGCAACCTTTGTTTGATTTATGCGCAGCCCGTCTGGTTTGGCCTGTTTCATTGTCTCCGAACGTCGAAAACAGACAGGTGTTTTTTGAGTTGTTTTGAGGGCTCGTGAGGGTAACTCAGTCGCGATCGTGTAAACAACCCGGGTCAGCTGTTGACTCCACATAATCTCGAAAGCTCCCTAGTTCAGTATGGCGCAACACACTCATGTAGCCAGTTCACAGAAAGCACTCATGTTGGAAATGAAGAGCCTCCAGGAGGAGCCCGTCGAGGGATTCAAGATCACACTGGTGGACGAGGCTGACATGTACAACTGGGAAGTGGCCATTTTCGGGCCCCCAAACACTCATTATGAAGGGGGCTATTTTAAGGTAAGAATACGACTTTATTGTCCACTAAGGTGGCACATCTGACAGATCATTAAAACACAGACACCACACATTAAATACAGCATTTACATTATCAGTTCTTCAAATATTACACATCACATAATCTACATGGAAAAACTTGCATGACAATCAAGTGTGTCAGTAAAATGTGTATATTGTGTACAAATTTCCCCCTAGGGATGAATAAATTGTATATACAGTGGGTACGGAAAGTATTCAGACCCCTTTAAATTTTTAACTCTTTGCTTCATTGCAGCCATTTGCTAAAATCAAAAAAGTTCATTTTATTTCTCATTAATGTACACTCAGCACCCCATCTTGACAGAAAAAAACAGAAATGTAGAAATGTTTGCAAATTTATTAATAAAGAAAAACTGAAATATCACATGGTCATAAGTATTCAGACCCTTTGCTCAGTATTGAGTAGAAGCACCCTTTTGAGCTAGTACAGCCATGAGTCTTCTTGGGAATGATGCAACAAGTTTTTCACACCTGGATTTGGGGATCCTCTGCCATTCTTCCTTGCAGATCCTCTCCAGTTCCGTCAGGTTGGATGGTGAACAGCCATTTTCAGGTCTCTCCAGAGATGCTCAATTGGGTTTAGGTCAGGGCTCTGGCTGGGCCAGTCAAGAATGGTCACAGAGTTGTTCCGAAGCCACTCCTTTGTTATTTTAGCTGTGTGCTTAGGGTCATTGTCTTGTTGGAAGGTGAACCTTCGGCCCAGTCTGAGGTCCAGAGCACTCTGGAAGAGGTTTTCTTCCAGGATATCTCTGTACTTGGCCGCATTCATCTTTCCTTCAATTGCAACCAGTCGTCCTGTCCCTGCAGCTGACAAACACCCCCATAGCATGATGCTGCCACCACCATGTTTCACTGTTGGGATTGTATTGGGCAGGTGATGAGCAGTGCCTGGTTTTCTCCACACATACCGCTTAGAATCAACTCCAAAAAGTTCAATCTTGGTCTCATCAGACCAGAGAATCTTATTTCTCATAGTCTGGGAGTCCTTCATGTGTTTTTTGGCAAACTCTATGCGGGCTTTCATATGTCTTGCACTGAGGAGAGGCTTCCGTCGGGCCACTCTGCCATAAAGCCCCGACTGGTGGAGGGCTGCAGTGATAGTTGACTTTGTGGAACTTTCTCCCATCTCCCTACTGCATCTCTGGAGCTCAGCCACAGTGATCTTTGGGTTCTTCTTTACCTCTCTCACCAAGGCTCTTCTTCCACGATTGCTCAGTTTGGCTGGACGGCCAGGTCTAGGAAGAGTTCTGGTCGTCCCAAACTTCTTCCATTTAAGGATTATGGAGGCCACTGTGCTCGTAGGAACCTTGAGTGCTGCAGAAATTCTTTTGTAACCTTGGCCAGATCTGTGCCTTGCCACAATTCTGTCTCTGAGCTCCTTGGGCAGTTCCTTCGACCTCATGATTCTCATTTGCTCTGACATGCACTGTGAGCTGTAAGGTCTTATATAGACAGGTGTGCCTTTCCTAATCAAGTCCAATCAGTTTAATTAAACACAGCTGGACTCCAATGAAGGAGTAGAACCATCTCAAGGAGGATCAGAAGAAATGGACAGCATGTGAGTTAAATATGAGTGTCACAGCAAAGGGTCTGAATACTTATGACCATGTGATATTTCAGTTTTTCTTTATTAATAAATTTGCAAACATTTCTACATTTCTGTTTTTTTCTGTCAAGATGGGGTGCTGAGTGTATATTAATGAGAAATAAAATGAACTTTTTTGATTTTAGCAAATGGCTGCAATGAAACAAAGAGTGAAAAATTTAAAGGGGTCTGAATACTTTCCGTACCCACTGTATATCTATATTGTAGTAATACAGTGTTCAACCACATGTTGTGTGTCCCAGGCTCGGATCAAGTTCCCTATAGACTACCCTTACTCCCCACCTGCCTTCCGGTTCCTCACCAAGATGTGGCACCCCAACATCTATGAGGTAACGTGTCAAACCCTGATTTTATTTCATATCATTACATTTCATTCAACGTCTTTCACGTGTTGCACGATGAATCTCATAATATAAACGAGTTGCTTTCCTCTGTTTTTTTTAGAATGGAGACGTGTGCATCTCTATTTTGCACCCTCCAGTAGACGACCCGCAGAGCGGAGAGCTGCCTTCAGAGAGGTGGAATCCCACCCAGAATGTCCGGTTAGCACTCTCCCTCAATATCTCTCCTCGTGTGTCTCTCCTTTCTGGGTGCCTCCCTTCTTTGTCTTCTCTCAGCCACCTCAATGATTGACCTGACTCACACCCTTATCACGTGTCTTCGGTGGCGTCCCGTCAGTACCACATGTGTGTGATGTGACCTGTTTTTGGCCAGTGCTGTCATTAGATAGCTCCCTTTGTATGTTGGGTAGTTGCGCAATATTTGTATATCTGTAAAATGTGGAGGCGTTACCAAGCAGTTAAAAAAAGTTAAAATATTTCAACTGTTTGTTTGAATCAAAAGTGGCCTGTGGTGGATTCGTGTCAGAGTTCCATTTTTACCAAATTATTTATCAAACAAGAATTTATTAAGAGCCACGACATCAAGAAATTCTCCATCACGGCTAAAAATACATGCTGTGCTTAACTGAAACCACTTGAATCTTACTCAGGCACAACAAACACCATTAGATCTTATGATAAAAATACATTTCAAAATGATGTTGTGTTCTTCAATAGAGCAGCTCATAGTGTGTGGAACAATAGGTTATTTTACATTTATATCTGACCAAAATGATCAACACCATGTCAAATACGTGGGGATTAAATGTATTATGGTATGTAGTATCTATGTGAATGAGTCACATATGTGGTGATAATAACTTTCCTCAAGGGAACAATAACTAACTAATAATAACTAACTAAGACCTCAATAATAAACATATAGTTATATTAAAAAGATCTGGCCATTATAAGCTTCTTATATAATTGTTTTATATTGTATAATATAGTTACAATTGTTGATAAATACTGTACATTAATAAACTCTTAAAAATATCACTATAGCTGTGTACACTTACATTAAAGTATGTTATAAGCAACTATTTAAATGTTTGTATACAGATCATAAATGGGGGATTTCATGTCGGGTGTTATTTATTAGTTGATGGATATACAAATAGCAAATAACATGTTCACATTTGATAATCAAATATACAATTCACGTGTTTATATCCTGTTGAAAAACTGCCATTTTATATCATTATAATTTAAGTATATATATTCATATTTTTTCACCTTTTTGTTCTCTTCCAGGACGATTTTGCTGAGTGTGATCTCGCTGCTGAATGAACCCAACACCTTCTCCCCCGCCAACGTGGACGCCTCCGTCATGTACCGCAAATGGAGGGACAGCAGGGGCAAGGACCGGGAATACGTAGAGATCATCAGGTAAACACTCGCACTCACAAGAGTAGGCCGCGTTTAAAAAGCCTCTTTGTCAAGTGCCCAGTCGTCCTATGTCTTCTTCACTATCTCCCTCAGAAAACAGGTGTTGGCCACCAAGGCGGAAGCTGAGCGCGACGGCGTGAAGGTGCCCACCACGCTGGCCGAGTACTGCGTCCGCACGCGGGTCCCGGCCCCCGACGAAGGCTCCGACCTCTTCTATGACTATTACTACGACGACGACGACGTGGACGGCGAGGACGGCGACTGCTGCTACGACGAAGACGACTCGGGCAACGAGGAGTCGTGACATGCTTTTTAAACGGCACCCCAACCGTGGCTGACACATGCTACCCGTTTTTTTTTTTTTCTCTCTGGGTTGCCAGAAATTCTTGGGTCGACACCCAAGAAAGATTTGAAGCTTCCCACTTCTAAACCAATGAAAAGAGCTGTTGTTGTGTCTCCCGGGTCTCTGAATTATTTTCAGAGGCGAAAATCGATGCACTGTTGTAGAGGAGTCAGAAATAGTCAGATTTGCACCAGCACAAAAGTCACCAGTTTCCTCCGTTATCATTTTCATTATCACCTAAAACCTTACTGTCAGAGAATATTACTTCATCCTCTTGAGTTGTCCGGCCTCCTGTACAGTACACAGTGTTGTGGGGTTAATACCACTTTTAACAATCGCAACATTTGCACTGGTGCAAACACCTCCAAACTTTACTCAGCATCTCTCTCTCTCTCTCTCTCTCTCGCATATCTTTATTTCCCTAATTGTAACCGGGTGTTGCTCACCAGTAGATTGAGGAACAACCCATTGAATCAGACATTTCCAAGTTTCACAATCTGCCCGGGCTTCCATATGACGGGATGTCACAGGACGATGTTTTCAAAGTTCTTGTGCATGCCGGAACACGATCGGAAGCTTTTCGTCCCTTTTTACTGATGGACCGCTGACCTACATCGGGATCCGTTTTCAGCTCGCTGAGAAGAAAGACTAGTGTTGACCGGGATGCCAGAGAACTTTGTGTCTGGAGGACCAGCTGGCAAAGCTGAGTCAGTGGGTCAAACCCTCACGTGAACAGTTTTAGTAACAAGAAACTGATCTTTTGCTGTGTTTTCTTCTGGTTACTGTTGGATGTGGTTCTGTGTCATTTTGAGTGTGGGGTTATGTTATTTGAAGTAGCTCAGATTTAATAGTTAATGTAGGGAAGTTATTCAGTGGGGGGGCAGAACTAATTACTGATCAGAAATGTATATCCTCCTTTGCTCTCTGAGAGGCCCGACGGAGCCAAAGACACGAAGCAGTGAAAAAGAAAAGCCCAAACTGTTCTCGTCTTTGGTTGCTCTCTTGCAGGCTTCGTTATTTTAGTCTCTTTCTTTGGTTTGACATTATGCCTGCAATCTTTTGCTTGCAATGATTCATGTGATGAGATTTGGTTTGATTGGCCTAAAAAAATGCTTCTATAGGAAAAATGTCTGTCAAAAAGTGTTGTTGCCGTATCGGTCCGAATTATCAAAGTTTTTCAGCCCCTGAAGTGAGAGAACAAGGCCGTCATGTTCTGTTTTCATTTCTATTCTTTGTGTCAGCAGAGAGTAGACGGGTTTTGATATCATTTTTAGAGTGCATGGGGTCTTTTTTTGTGTATTTTTGCATAAGCAATATTGTTTGTTTGAATTAACTCAAATTAGGACTTCATACTGAATTTCTCAGGATAATGAATTGCATAATGACAAAACAATTAATACAAGCATCTATTTTACTCTTTTAGGTTGGTCTTCAGAGTTGGTTTACAGCTTCAACAGGAACCATAACTGATATGCACATGTAGCTGTATGTATGATTGATGTATTGTTTTATTCACCTGTGTTTTATTTTTTATTTTCGGCTATTTAAACTGAAAAATAAAGATTTATTGGGAAAAAAATGAACAGTCTTGCAGTGCTTGGATTGGTTGCACTTTCAATATTGGCTATCTTAAAAGTAGTTTTCAAAATATATTCACCTTTGATTTTATTAAAACTGTCTTTAAGGATTGATTGCCCTGCACAAACTCCATGGTGTACTGCGTCACAATATTCCCTCTCTGGTATGAATGTAGATTGAAAGGTGAATCTGCACTATGTTGCATATGTATGCATGATAACAGGCCCGTTTGTCGAAGCCTGCAGTAAAACAGACAATCTGTCGTCTATAGATATGACTATCTGTCATGTTAGTGGTTATTTTTATAATGTAGGAAATCTATTAGTAATTGAGAAGAAAATTATTCTATCATGATTGTGAAGGCATGGTGCTGCATTCAAGTCACACGGGAAAATTGCGTATTATCTTCATAGTTTAAAGCCACAGCCTTCTGAGTGAATACTTCTTTTGAAGCCCTGAAGAGGTCGTGCCCAACTTGCTGTATTTTTGGTTTATATGTCTGATATAAGTGTCCACCATAAGCTGTGAAGCTTCATAGATTCAAATATAGTTCATAAAGAGAATACAAAAGCTCAAAATGCTGCATTAGGAGTAGGCCGAGGCATGCGACTGGGCCTTCCTGATAGGTACTTCATAAACTTAGATACATTTAAGTTTGTGTTTTCGCCACACTATGTCCAATTTTGCAGTGCACGATTTGTGAAACCCGGTGTGATAACGGGATTTTATGTGAAAAGTAAACATTCTTCGATGGTTCGTTTCCGGGGTGGACGGGGAGATCTCGTGCATTTTCCCAACTCTTAGAACGCAGCTCACGTTGTCGCTTAGAGATGACGTCAGCCAAACCACACGATTAAAGAAACGCTTGTGAGATTATTCGTCTCTACGATACAGGAACAACGTCCTACACAACAATAATAAAGAGACCAACACCAGCCATGTCTGTGAACTATGCTGCTGGCCTCTCACCGTACGCAGACAAAGGAGTGTGTGGACTTCCTGAGGTAAAATAAATCGACTGTGGGCTAACGTTGTGTGGTTAGCTGCTAGCAGGTTAGCCATGATGTCTGCTTCATCTTTAGGATGATAAATTGAAAATAATAATAAAATACATTTGAGTAGCAATACGTTGATATCATCCAAAGGTTCTGCTTTCAAGTGTTGACCGAAGAAAACTTAAAGCCAGCAGCAGAAAGCCCTTTAAGCATCACCGTTATTGGTCTTTGTTAAGAATGGGTCCATTCATTTTACACCATTCCCTCACGTGCAATCAATGTTCTAACGTTAGCTGAACTAGCAATGAATACTTTACCCTGTAATGTCACGTTATATGTTAAATATTGTCTGCAAAAAGCCACTGTCCCCAGTTTGGTGTTGTAATTTCATGTTTTACATGAAAGACTTTCACTGAAGATTGGATTTAAAGAGAGGCCCAAACTAGTCACTTCAGCAATCAGATAAAGTTGAGAAGTAAAGGGGCAATACCTTTACTCTGAAATCGTGAATAGCAGAAGTATAAAGATGCAGAAAAATTGATGAACTGTACATTGAATATATTGTATTACTTTCCACCCTAAACATAATGTGACACTCTCTGTTCCAGCTTTGTTATATACTTTACAATTCTGTCTTCAAAGCTGTTCCATGTTTAGTAAAATCTCTGCTCAGGTACAACAGTAATTCACCTGTCACTTAAAAATAAAAGACAATAACAGGAAATGGCAGAAGGGAATGTGTGAGGTGCAGAACATTTAAAAGTTATCCAACTTGAAAGACGCACCAAGCGTAAAACCCAGAGCAACGTTTCTTGAGTAATTCTCAAGTTGTAGTAGCTCGTGTCCCACTGGAGATATCGGGTTAGATTACAAAGTCTAGCACGCTCTCCCCCATGAGTGATTTGCGGCAACGCTTACAGGAAAAGACACTACATTAAAACTGCAACATGAAACAAGATATTCATATGTGTGTTTGTTATTGTAACATCATGAACATTCGTACTTGTTCTGTATTGACGAGCTGCGTGACTGTGAATGCTTTGGCCTTTTATGGCTTCAGTTCAAACTGAACAGGGAATCTCTTCGCCTGCAGGGCCTTTACACCGACATTGTTTAGATGAAATACTGTATGAAAGCATCCCCTCTCGACCTGCGTCGTTCCTAAATGCTCCTGATATTTAGGCATTGTATCAGAAATTATGTGATATTTGATTGTGCCAGCTGTTTTAACCTGATGCCTGCTGCTCTGTGGCAGGTGTTTGACAGCCCTGAGGAGCTGAAGGCGAAGGTGGAGACCCTCGCCCAGTTGGTAAAAGAATCTCAATACTTGGTTGTCCACTCTGGAGCCGGAATCAGCACCTCAACAGGCATCCCCGACTTCAGGTGAGGCACAAATCTTTGGAGAGATTATGATAATGTACATAACGTAGTGGAGATTCCTTAATTTTCCTGTTTTGAATTGAAGTTACTGTCTACCTTTCCTTGGCATTAATCTGCTTTTGGATTAAAATGGCAAATTGATTATATGAATATATATATAAATGGATTATATAACATTGCAAGTCTGAAGATAACTTGTGGACAACTACCAACCTTATGCCACAGCATCTAATACAAAATACTGTTTTCAAATAAACTGCATAATCAGTGAATCCAGGCCAGAAATGACATAATGTGAATCTTCACTTAGCCTCCTGCTTTCTCTTGTAGTACCACTGTATGAGCAGATGAGGGCAGTACTTGTTTATTATTTGTTGACTCCAGCTCTTTGTAAAACAATATCTCACACACATCAGTGTGTGTTCCTCCATTATAGTGCAAGAATCTCCTTTGATATTCTGCAGACACGTATTTTTCCGTAATAGTCGAGCTGTGGCACAGAAGATGGACAACTTTTTACTCATTCATTGAATTCATTCTGGTGTGAATGTCGGATATTTACAAGTGAGAATTCATACTTTTGTAGATGTTTGCTGGAGACCTGACTAATTAATGCTTGATTGGTCTTCCTGTCAGTCAGGTAGACTCGAGCTTTGACGGCGATATCATTAAAGCCAAGGTTCCTACATCAGGCACACCAACACACGTGATATTCCCACTGCTGCCATGCACACACACACACACACACACACACACACACACACACACACACACACTTTCCCCAGCTGACAGGTACAAAGTCAGCCCCTGGGGTTGGTATTATTGACGACATTTACCTTGTATACACCTGCTGTGTAATACGTGACGTACAGGCCACTCCGTTAACGTCGGTACGTCTTTGAACTGGTCTTGGCTGAGGGGGCAATGAATCCTATTGGTGTTGAGAGATGATGCTGTGTTGATGATTCACTGGATGCGTTTCCTCATCTGATGCATAAAGATAAGTTGTGTATCCTCGAGGTAACTGTGAGTGTTTCAAACAGCAGTACTGACAGGTCCGCTGTGTTCATCCCTCATTTAGACACTCAAAACTCCTCCTCTTAGATTCTTTTGATACTCAACCATGAATACATACCCATTCCCCACACACCAGTTGTAGACACGAAATGCCTCCAGTCCACCCACTGCATTACAACCTGTCCACTCCTGATTAAAGCTACCAGTCCTCTCTTCATCACTATATTCTCTTCCAGGGGTCCAAAAGGTGTGTGGACGTTAGAAGAAAAGGGTGAGTCACCTCACTTTGACATCACATTTGAAGATGCCCGACCTAGCTTGACTCACATGGCCCTCCTGGGGCTGCAGAGGGCCGGCTTCCTCAAGTATCTCATCAGCCAGAATGTGGACGGCCTACACGTCCGATCAGGCTTCCCCAGGTAACCCCGCCCCGCCTCCTGTAGCATGACGCACACTCAAGTAGCTCACTCAAGCCATTGCTGTTAGTGGGCACGGGGCGATGCAATATCTCACAGGCGAGCCACGTAGCACCAAGTAGCACTCACAGGTGCAGAGTAAGCTTATTTTAGTAATAGTACTAATAGTAAATATTTTTTTTTATTTTCTGAATGTGTAGCTGATCTATAACCCGTCGGTACGAGCCTCCGTTTGTGCCAGCGAGGGAAACGGTAGAACAGATTCTTCACTGCAGTGAAAATGTGTTTGAAAGGCTGAATGCCAACAAGTGTGGATTGAAGCAGAATGTTTCACAGATAAAAACACGTTGTTGAAATGATTACATCCGTCTTTTCTTTTGGACTCTACAAACTCAGGAGTTATTGGAAATGTTTGGATCACAACAGTCTCTCACATTCCTACGCAGCCACCACTGGAGTCTAATTACACAAATAGTAGCCCATAATATTCACTACCGAGCCTGTTTGTAACCGGTACCGACAACGTATTTTCACTTCACATCTCCGTTGCACTGCTTCAGAATGACTGCAGGGGAAACACTAAATGTCTTTGATTTAGGATTTGAATGTCAACGTTATGAACGTTCAAACTATTTGGTACACACGGTACCTTTTTAAAGCAGTATTGTTTTTTTTCCCCACAATAAGCTGTAAATGCAACACTGTTGGGCTGAAAACAATTATTTTCATAATTAATTTATCTGCTTGTTACAGTGTTGTACTGGACTTTCCATTTATCTATAAATCATTTGGTTTATAAAACTTTAGAAAAGTTTTCATTTAAAAAAAATGACTTAAACAATGAATTGATTGTCAAAATAGTTGGCAATTGATTTTCAGTTGATTGATTAATTGTAACAGCTCTACAACATATCACCTAAAACTATTCACCCACTCGGCAGACACAGAGCAGCATGAGCATTCATTTGGATCCACCTTTCTAACTGCTCCACTCTTTGAACCAGCTGTGCTAACTTTTTGCCGGTTGGTGCTGGTCAGGTAGCGTGTCGTCGTCTTTAAGAACTTGTTTTCTAAAAGCCGCTGCTGCTGGAAACGAGGTGGATAAGAGCAGCGAGAGTGAACCATAAAACCAAAACAATGGGCTGGAAGACGCTAAAGAGCAGCACTGAGTTTAGGGGAACTGCAGAGCCGGGGATCAATCACTCTGGATTGTTCACTGCAAGTCACCATGTTCCCCATTTAGATGTAGTCAGTTGACCTAATGTTAGTATAAAAATACTCATTAGTGCAGCTTTAAAGATGTATCATCCCATCAAACACTATGACTGCAGCAAATGTCCTCGTTTTCACAAAGTTCTCCATATATGTGAGAGGAAAAGGTTCTCCATTTGCAAATATATGTTAGATTGTAGATCGTGTTAGATTACATCGCTGTGCAGAGTGATTTTGAGTTGAAGCAGAGCGAGAGGAGTGGACGTGAGGTATTTATTAAGAGGAAAAGTTAACTTGTTCAGAACATGCAGTGAATTCCTTAATGTGGAGGAAACGACCACACTATAGTTAGTTTTATCTTTACTCATTTCTCATATACAAATATATACAGCGTTGTAAGTCCTGTGAGAGAACCATATTGTTGTTGAATATGAAGCTGCTGCTTTGTGATAACAGCTGGACCAGCGGGAGACATGAGGAGCTCTTTAAATGCAGCTCAAGTGAGTTCAAACGAGGCTCGAGTGTCGTGGGACATGTTTGTTCTGTCTCCGGACTAACCGAAGGACAATAATCCAATTCTTTATTCAGCACATTAACCCGTCCATTACGCGCATCGGAAGCGGAAGGCTTGGTTTCCCTGGAAGTCATTTGTTTTCCTCTACACTCCCATCGGTCAGAACGGTAGTTCTCTGAGGAAATCATTGAGGCAGCGGACAAACTGGTGAAGTGAACTGGTTGTCAGTGGAATACAGAAATGAATATCTTGAGGCCTCAGAATATTAATCAGAGAGGGACTGCAGAGAAGTTCTGTGGAAGAGTCTGGACATTCATTTTTGGAGACAATTAAAAACAATGAAATATGATCTTTTGAATCTTCTAGGGATGTGTTATCAGAGCTCCATGGAAACATGTTTGTGGAGGAGTGTGAGAAGTGTGGCAGGTATGTACACACACACACACACTTTGATCTTAAACTGTTTGTACAAACTGCAAATGATGTGCAATTAAGTCTCCGATACCCTTAAAGAGCGTTCCCAGAATCCTGTTGAGTCCACATCTTGAAGACAACTGTCTGTAGTCAAAAGTTGTCTGTTCTATCTAATCGATACTATCGTGGTTATGTGCACGAACTCGTGCGTATAAATGCTTGTAACTCGACTAAAGCTGCTCTGGACGGACAGAGACGTGACCTGTAGGAGTCTTGGTTTTCTAGGCAGTACGTCAGAGAGAAGGTGATCGGCGTGATGGGACTGAAGCCCACAGGACGTCACTGCGATGTGCTGCGATCCAGAGGGCTGAGAGCCTGCAGGTGACGCATGCTTTCACTGCATTTTGAAATATCCAGTAATGAACTATGATCCATTTATCAGTATCACAGAGTATCCTTTTACCGAAACAGAGGGAAGCTGATCAGCACTATACTGGACTGGGAGGAGGCTCTTCCTGACAGTGACTTGAACAGAGCAGAGGATGCCAGCAGGTGAGACAAATAGAATTGCAGCTCCATTGTTTCCTTATTATACTCTTATTATACTATTGTCTGTTTTGGGTTTGATTCAGTATTTGTCTTGATAACCTGGTTACACACAGCACATTCTCTTATCTATCCAGATATTCCTGTTTCATGTCACATGTCATAGTTCAAACGTGTCCTGCGAACTGAAAAATGTGAATTTATGTGTGTGATGCATTTGCTTTATTTTTCTGTCAGCGTCCTGATGTGAAAATGCTTCACAGTCTGCTTTAACGTTACCATTTCTCTCTTTTTAATGTTTCTGTCAATGTTTCCATGCAATCCTTCAACCCCAACAACGGTTTACTGTGCGTCTACAAAACGGCAAGATGAAAGTTTGTGTTTCACCTTGATGTTAATGACCATTAATAGATGCATAGTAACATTTAAACTACAAAGACAAGCTTTGGAGCTCTAACTGTGCGATGTGTTGTGTACTTGTAGAACTGGAGCTGCTGTGTTTTGGCTCTTTCATTCATTATGACACAGCGCAGTGAGCAGTGGAGTGTGTGGAGTGTGTGGTCTGGGCCTCTCATGTATCACCATTACATCTGAGTCACAGCGCTAAGCACCCGTTTCTCTAAAAGAAAAAAAAAGCAATCTTTGAAATCATTTTTCAACACTTATGGCTGTTCTCAAGGTGTTTCAAGGATCCTTAAAGAAAGAAATGCATTATTTTCCTCATACCGTCTGAATATACCTTCAGTCTCTATAAGCGTCCCTCCTCTGAAAGAAATCCAGTTTCCTCTGATTGTGCTCGTGAGAAGAATACGGTGCACCTTTGCAAAGATAGTTCTCTCGCTGCGGTGTATTCTGATGAGTCTGCATGAAGGGGAACCGAATCTGAATGGCTTGTTGAATCCAGGCAGCCAATGAAAGACTGTCTGGGTCGTCTTATTTCACAGCTTGTGGGCGGGTAGGATCTCCAGATGCCCAAATGTGTGAGCACAAGCACTGATAAAGGGAGTTTTTAATGATATGTTTTGACTGACATTGCGATATGATTTGTTATGTTCGAGGGAATGGTAATTATTACATCTTTATAATACTTTGAACATGTTTTTTGAGGGGATCTGTACCAAACAAAGATGTCTGTCTTTTCTCACAACCAAACATTTCTATCAGCATTGGAAACTCAGCGACTCCCTTAATTTCAGGACATATTTTCTACTGTCTGTCCCCAGACGAGCCGACCTGGCGCTGACGCTCGGCACCTCCCTGCAGATCAAACCCAGCGGAGACCTTCCACTTCTCACCAAGCGCAAAGGAGGAAAACTGGCCATCGTGAACCTGCAGCCCACGAAACACGTCAGTCCCATTAACGCACCACCACCTGACACACACACACGTGTGTGCGTGTGTGTGTGGAAACATGAGATGGCAACATCAAAGGCTACATTGTGTTTACGTTCTGCTCATGTGCCCTGTCCGGCATCTCCAGGTTTTACCGTTTCACCGTCGTACATTTTCTGTTTTTGTAGGACAAGCACGCGCACCTGCGTATCCACAGCTACGTGGACGATGTCATGAAACAACTGATGGAGCTGCTGGGATTGGACATCCCAAAGTGGGAGGGTCCGACTGTCTGCGAGAGCTCCAAAGCCACCGCCGAGTCCACCACCGATGTCAAACCACCGTGTGCAGTCACAGCGAAGAAGAAGAAGGTGAAAAGGGAGCTGGTTAAGGAGGAGAGGCAAGGAGACACGACGGCACTAACAGACGATGGGAGTGTTAAGGAGGAGGCGGTCCCTGTAAAGAGGGAGAGAGCGGACTCCCCAGTCGAGTTAAAAGAGGAGAAATAGCCTCAGGTAACACAAACCCGTCCAGAAATAGACTTTACAACAAAAGCGGCTCGGTTTGATCAGTTTGAGTACAACGATTCTTCTCCTCTGACACGCTCTGGAGCAAAGACTCTTTATTACCACAGCGGTTTTGTTTTTTAAATCCCCCTTACAGCCACGACACACAGCGACATGAAACTGACTCCTCGGCTGAAAGCTCCAAAGTTGAACACCCGATAAAGTGAAATTAGCTACGTGATTGTGTCCAGGGTAGAAGGATGACTCCTCATTATGTGGACGTTTGAGTGAGTGGAGTTTTCTTTTTCATTTCTGGTCCAACAACATGCCTTAAGAGTACATTTACTAATACATGACCCACCTCGGGGCTTTATTTTGCTTTGAGAACCAAACTTTAGCAGACAAGACC